TAGGAGCAATGTTCCCATAAACACATACAAAATGCAGAGAACACAGTAAGGGCTAAACTAGCCTTGGTTTTACCTGAGTTATTTGAAAAACTAAGATATGAAGACATAAAAAATAAGTATAGAGTTAGGTATAAAATAAGCAAAAAATAAGCATATCGTTTCTTGTTTCTTTTTAGACACTAAGGTAACAGGGTCCCCCCACCACCCCCCGCACCTTTAAAGTTTATCTCATTTTTTTGAATGAAAGTCAGTGTCCTTCTTTGGTGGGCACGGAGGCCAAAGAGGTCAACACAAAGCAAGGTGGTCTCTAAGCCACTAGGTCAACCTTTTATTTTTCTTTTTTGAACAGGATATCAATTAAAGATTGATTGTTAGATCAGTAGATGACACTGTGATTTTAATCTCTACTTCTGTGAACTCAACTCCTATCAAGAAACTATTTAAAAGAAATCACACTCTCATAGCAAAAAACTAATTGCTGATACATAGCTTAACTGTCAGAAATTAAATAGTGGCTCGGGCATAATTGATCTGATACGTGAGCAAGATTCAGAAGAGACCTTCAGGAGAAAACAGTGATGAACCAGCCCTAACAGGGAAGAAAGACAAGTACGACAGGCTGATGGGCTCTCCGCTGGCAGGTGCTCCTCTCAGCCTTCCTTCTCTGGGAACTCACAGCCTCTCCTTGCTGCATAGGGTCTCTGAAGGTCAGTACATGAGGGCTCCCTTGGGTCCTCTGCAATTTGCCTTCTTTAGTCTGCTCTTAGAATTTCCATCCGCTTTTCATGACTTGAGTGAGTATCTGTATAAGATTCTCACCTCTCTTACCTCCACTCCTGATTGCCCTCCCACAAATTTAGTACTGCATTTCCAAAACTCCTTGACTATTTATTGTCATCTCAAATTCAACATGTTCAAAACCAAACTCTTAGTCATCTACTGTCCTCCTTCCCTCCCTCCCTCCTTCCTTTCCTTCTTTCCTTCCTCCTTTAACGGGCCCTGTGGTGTGCCTGGGGCACCCATGAGGACAAGGCACTTCCAGCCTTAAGGAGCTCAGAGTCTGTTTCCAAACTGTATCTCAGTGACCTACCCTTAACAAAACAAAAACCAAAAAACTTATTTTGTGTACAAAGCAACTGAAGCCAAGAAAGATCGAATGGCTTGTTTAAGGTCACATTTGCTACTGGCAAAGCTAGGAGGTAAATCCAGGACTCCTGACTTGCTAACTTCTATCAAAGGCATCGTAATTCTTCCAGCTACTCTAGTTTAAATTCTGAGGAGACACATGATTCCTCACCATGTTGTACTTTAATACCTTTTTTTCTTTCTTTTCTTTTTTACTTGTCAATTACAGTTGACATTCAATATTATTTTGTATTAGTTTCAGGTGTACAGCATAGTGCTTAGACGTTTATATAATTTATGAAGTAATACTCCTGATAAGTCTAGTGCCCACCTGGCACCATGCACAGTTATTACAATATTATTGACTATATTCCCTGTGCTGTGTTTTATATCCCCATGACTATTTTATAACTACCAATTTGTACTTCTTAATTTAAATGCCTTTCTTTTGAAAAACTCTCACATCTGCCATTTCCTTTGTGTTCCAACCATCCCGGTCAGCATCACTCTCACATGTCACCTAGAATTTGCTGGCAGTGACGTTCAGTCTCCCTGACCCCTCCAGCTTTAGTGCATTTCTCCTCCCTGACCTGCATCCATCCTCTCACTCTCTCTCCATCCTCCTTCAATTTGACCCACACGTGGCTACCGGGACAGTATTTCTAAAACACCTGGAACCCATCACGTTCCTGCCCTAAGCCTTACAGTGAGTCTCGGACACCCTTGGCCTTGGCACCCCGTGTGGGAAAATGGGGCTCTGACCATGGGGGAACTCTGCTCGCACTCTACCGCTTGGAGAAAAATCTTCTCTTGAACCAGTATGTCCCCAGTTTATTTGACCACAAAACTTCCTTTTCCAAGGAACACACTTTACCACCCTTTAGACCCCGAGTGTGCAGAAATGCACTGTAGGCTACGCATAGCAGGTTGCCCAGGCCGCCCAGATCTCTCTATGCTCCTTCCTGATCTTATTACTTATATTCTCCAGGACCGCCTGCGCCAGAAAAACTGGTCATTTTATTGTTATATAATATGCCATGAAACTAATAGATTCCCTTTTCTTTGTTTTCATAATTTCCCCAACTAGAAATACTCTCCTTCTTCCTCTCCACTTAATTAAACCTTACCCTTCCTCTAACATATAGTTCATATCACATCTTTTCTATAAATCCTTTCCAAACTCTCTCATCCCAACTATTATAGCATTAATTTATCTGTATTGGAAAACCAAAATTTCAACAGTGGAAAATACCCATAATTCACATTTGGGTCAAGAAGGTAATAAAATGGTCAAAGGTAATAATATGGTCGAACTTTCCCATCAAATACCTTCAAAAGTAATTTACAAGGTAAGATTATATTACACTCACAAGAACTGTATTTACAAGGTAAGATTATAGTACACTCACAAGAACTGAATTTCTATAAAACTTGCAGGATCTTTAAGTAGGAGAGGAAAAAGATTTAATATCAATAAATAATTCACTGGAACTGACATTTAGTTCTGCTGTTTCGACCAGAATAACTTTATGAAGGCACTAGGAGAGTTTCACACCTTCATTTCCATTTTGCAGAAAATTGCCAAGAACCACCTAATGAATACTAGTATGAGAAGGAAGCCTGAATAGTGTACAGAAAAGACAAAATCATTACAGTTGCTATAAACACCATTATCCTTATCTCCCTTTCCTGTTTCTAGTGATTTTTTCCCCCACACAATATAATCAAAATTAGTCTCATTTAAAAGGTACCATTTCTGTGTATCACTCTTTTAAACAATGTTTTTCATCCTCGTGGTAAAAAGATGCCTCGTGATAATGGCCAATTCAGTTCCTATCTAGAGTTCAAAAGCAATCATAATTAAATGCCTTCTTTTGATACACATGTATCTCCATCAAGAAGCCTTGGGTTGGTTATGGAAGTAAGCTTGAGGAGAAGAAAATCTGAGGGAACTCTAGTCTTTCTACTTCTGCCCTGGAAATATACGTACAAGACCCACCCACAGGCCTCCCACTTCCTCCTGACCACCCATGTTTGCTGTCCCTGAGCCACCCGCTCCCAGAAGGATCTGAGAAACAGGACAGTCCTCATCAGCTCAGATCTCTAGCACCAGCTAAAAAAACTCCTGGACTGTCCAGGCTCTGGACCTCCTGGCACGTCTAAGATTGCCATGACTGTTTGCTCCTCCTGCCTCCATCCTGCCCAGCCATTTGCTTGCTTTTAGACCTACAATGCCTTCCTAATCTCTTCAACATCTTTGGGCTTGACTTATTTTAACTGGTATCTGTCTTGTCCTTCCAAGACTGTGTGTTCACTTCTATTTAACCTCTCGCTGGTTTAATCCATCATGTCTGAAGATTCCTTTGCTCAATTAAATAGTGGACAGTCTTCTGATATGCAAGAGGATTCAGCTTCAACCCCACTTTTCCAACCTTATTTTCCTATGTGAACCTTTTACTTCAAACAACCTGATCCATTCCTGGGCCCTTAAATGAGCCAGGCCATGCACATCCCCAATTTTGTTTTCCAAAAGCCCCGCCCTGTAAGATCCGGCTCAAAGCTGTGCTCTCAAGGAGTCTTCTCTAGCTTCTTATTCCGATCATCACCTCGGCCTCTGAACTACTGTGCCGAATGTCTTCACGAGTGAGTCCTGCAGCAGGCCTCACAAAACAATAGCGCTTTCCAAGGGGTAGGCTCCCTCTCGGAGATTACAATGCATATTATTATATTAAAGACTTTTAGACTTCTTTCAGTGAATGTCAAACAATACTGAACCCATTTTTTTCTGAAACTTATTTAGCCACAGCATCCCTTTTCCATGTTATATCCTTTAATAAAAACTTGGAAGTGCAGACATAAGGAAAACAGGTCTACACAAGTCAGTGGTATTTCCCACAAGTGACCTTGCATCCTAACGTGTCTTTGTGGCAGATCTTCTCTCCAACTGGTGTGAAAGACAACAACCCAGCAGCTCTAACCAGCTGTGGGCTTTCTCAATTCCTATTGCTGTCACTATACTCAGATCACTCTTTGCTTGCTAAGTGCGAGGTAATGCACTGCCTGGAACACGGTGAATACAGAAGATGTCAGCTACTTTCATTTTGAGACCACAGGGCAAAGTGGTCAAAGGCTTGCCTGGGGAATCAGGCAAACTATATTCAAACTCTGGTTCTGCTCTCACTAGATAGTGAGATCGAGGACTATGTCTGTTTTGTTCATCAATGTCTGGTACACACAGAGTGCCTGGTACAGAACATGCAGTCAATAAGTATTTCTTGGGTGAATTAAGGACAAAGTCATTTCCAATCAAGCAATTTTGCCTAGCAGGGGACATTTGGCAATATCCGGAGACAGTTTTGGTTGTCACAACTTGCATCTGGTGGGTAAAGATCCAGGATGCTACTGAAGATCCTACAATCAACAGGGCAAAGAATTATCCAGCCCCAAATGCCAATAATGCAGAGGTTGAGAAATCCTACTAACTAGTTTCCTACTAGAAATCTTACTAATTTCTAACTAGTAACTGCTTGGCCTTGAGTAAGTTATCACATTTCTCTAAGTGTCAATTTCTTCATCTGTAAAATGAGAGACTGACTGTAACTGATATTATATACAAATACAATAAACTGAGTAATGCATACAAAGTGTTCAACAGTGATTGGTGCGTAGAAAGTGTGACTATAAACTCGACCTATGAGCATTCACACCATTAACCTGCATTCACTGTCTCCTCACGATGATGAGCCTCTTCAGATGGAGTCTTTAGATGCTCTCAGAACTTACTCCATCAGTCCCAGAGGGAGTACCCACATCAAAATGAGCCTTGTGCTCCCACTTATGTTTACTGTATGGTCAGAGTATATATATGTGCTCACCAGAGGCTCGGTAACGAAAACCTTGTTCAAGAAGAGCATGCTGTCTTCCTGAACCAGACTTCTCTGATTCTCAAAGGTGCGGGAGAGAATGGAAAGGCGTTCTCGCAGTGAAGGATCGACAATACACTCTTCAAGAAAGTCATCAGTCTCATTCTTTTCTTCTTTGATCAGACTGCTACAGACCCTGAAGGAAAACAGCAAATGTGAGATTCGTTTTGGGACTCCCGTGAAGACCATTGCGAAGGGCCCCCTCCAGTCCAGCATCCTGGGAATGACCTCACCCATCACCCTGGGGTGGTCCCGCCTTGCCCTGAGTCTGTAACATGCTATCTGAGTGACCTTATACTTTAACTTCTCAAGAGCCTCAGTTTGCTCTTCAGTCACTTCCTTCAAGAAGTCCTCCTGCGCTGCCTGCCCTCCACTCACTTACTCCTGTGCCCCTAGGAATATTTGAACAAATATTTTATTTTAGCTAATGGCGTTTCCTGGGTTGATTTTTAAATACTTAACTTCTACTCCACCTCTCATACTGCAAAGGCAATTTTGTTTCTTTTAAACTCGCCTAGCTTTAGTTCTTTCTTAGCTGTTCAGTTACCTGGAGAACAGGGTCAAGAACCAGTGAGGACGGGGTTTGGATACAGATTCAACTGTCTATTTACTAGCTCTGTGGCTTTGGGAGTTACCGAATTCCTCTTTGCCTCAGTGCCTTTACCTATAAAATAGGAGCTGCCCATCATAAAGATGTGCTGAGGATTAAATGTGATCAAGGACCTAGTATACAGGCACAAAGCAGATACTCAATAAATACCAGCTTTCTCTCTGTCAACCACAGGCAGCTACCAAGCTGTCAAGCTTATAAAATGCTCAAACTACATCTAAAATTACATTCTCTCTCTCTTTCTAGCTCTTCACATCCCTTGTCATAAATCAGAGAAGCAGCCTTCCCCAACCCTCACGCAGGGCCCTCACTGCAGACGTGTTCACATCACTCCTGGTATCAGTTATTTCACCTGAATTTTTGGAAACTGAATTTTATCTCTTCCCAGGGCATATGACCATTTTCTCAACATTTTGGTGGTGTTACCAATGATGGGAGACAAGCTATTTAGCTTTCTCGTTGAGAGCCTAGGGTCACCGAATTCCTGTCTCAGCTTCAGCTATTAGTATTTTCTAAATGACTTCATGCAAGCACATGCTTAGCGATGTCAAAGAGCTCTTTTTCATAACTTTAGTGTTCAGATTCCTTGGGCAACACAGCGTAAAGGTGTCAATAAATGGGTTCAGTGTGTTCTAGTTCCGAGGAAAAAAGCATTGTGTGCTTCCCTTTGACTGCTGTTTGGGAAGCAGTGTCCTGGGGAATGACAGCAGCTGCCCCTCTACACTCCCGGGCAGAGCAGTGCAAAGTAAAGAGAGCTCAGTCCGCAGAAAGAAAGGAAACCATTCATTCTTCTAAGTGAAAGTTATCACACCTATCTTTAGAAATAAATCCTATAGAAATAATCACAGATATAAGAAAAACCACAGCTACAGAGATGTTCATCAAAGTGCCAGCAATAATACAAAAAAAGCGGGTAAATTTTATGTAAGAGATTGAAGGACTGGTGAAGCACATAATGGGGGTCATAAACATTACGTTTACTTGGAGGTTTACTGGGAGAGGCGTGTGGGGATAAAAGGCCTCGTATGGACCAAGGATGATAATGCTCCATGAACTGAGCAGTATGATCGACTCAACCCCTGAGCCAGGAAACAAAAGAAAACAGAAAATTCCCAAGTACTCCTCTTCTCCCATCTGTTGGGACTCTTAAATTAGTAACAGCTGTACAATGCAAAGTGGGTGGGTAGAGGCAGGTACCGGCTGTCTTCCTCTTTGCCCTCTGATGGGGAACTGGAGCCATGACTGAGAGGCTGAGAAGGCAACATGCAACAACACTTGAGCTGGGCTGACTCCAACGAGGGCTTCCATATGCCCCAGGCTATGACGAGGCTTTTTTTCCCTGATGATGTTAGTGGTCTCCTGTCTCAGAGGTGGTTCTGTCCTACAGACGAGTGACACCTCTCATCAGCGAGCTTAACAACACACCAACCTTCTCTCTCAGTTAAACCATGGATTTCACCTATTTTCCAAATGGTCTGGTAGCCACCAACACCCAGCACCTCCAGGCATCAAGTATAGTCCAGCCTACGAACTAGAGTCAACGGGGAAGACTGGTGTCTCAGGTATGGCAGCACTGAACCAGTAATGCTTTCTCGTCTTCAGGTGCTAGAGACACTGCTCCTTTGCAGCATGACCAAAAAGTGGTAACTAGATGCTAAGGAGAATAAGAACTAAAAGCGATGGCCTTCACAGCTGGGAGGAATACTCCCATGTCCACATTTGGCATGGAAAGGATAGAGTCATCCACCTTCAAATGGACCGTGGGACCCTGGTCACTGAGCAACTCTGTGATGACTGTGATAAGCTGAGGACTAGAGTTCCTCTTCCTGTTTACCAAATACCACTCAAGATTAAATTTATTTCTACCTGGGTGGCAGGCCCCAAACCCAATTAAAACTGATCTATCTAGAGAAAAATCTCTTCTCCTCTTCTTGAAAATGGTGGGATAAATCCATGCTGACCACATCGTGGGAGTCCACTGAAGATACTAGTAGTTCCTACACAGAGCAAATCTAGAATTAGAGCCAGATGCTACTGAGACAATGGTCATGACCTTCATAGAGAAATGAGGAACAGAAATCCTCAAAAGCTCATGCTGAGTCTCTGAATATAATAAGCTATGACGAGAATGAGTATGAAAGAAAGTGAGTATGAGTACAGTGGGATGTTTTATAATCCCTCAGGACAAGTATGTATGAGACCATTTAGAATAGATCCTCTCTGTTCCAAGTTCAGGATCAAAGTTGAACTTCCTCTCTACATTTTTTTACTACAGTGGTTGCTGAAGGAAGAAAAGGGATGGGTTGCTCACCATCAGGAGCCGGAGAGTCAAACATAGGGAGGATTATCCCAGGGATGCCTGCACTGGCCTCACTGGGGAACTCAAGAGAAGATTTATGCTGTTAGTTAAAGATCTAACTGCTACTTCTCACGGATGAGCAAGCCTCATTATCTGCCACTGATGTGTGCCTTGAGATACAACTTGAGGATTTGTGACTTAGAGGAGAAGGGGGCCCATATCCACAGCAAGAGCACTGCCTCCTACAGAGAGGGGCAGCTATCCAGAGACAGGAACTAAGTGTTCAGGAAAGGACAAACCCCTCTGTGATCGCCTTGCTTTTTGAAAGGATGGGCATCTCATGGCTGGTTATGTCCAGGACAAGAACCCTGACTAATAGTATAAGTTGTGACATGCTTGGGGATATATTAAGGAACAAGAGAGAGATGAGAGAAAAGACACAATCTGGTCAAATAAGATATTAGGCATAAATGGCCTAGTTCCCTCTAAATCAATTTCCCTTCTTGCCCCAGGCATCCAGCCCTAGGAGAGGGGGAGGGAGAAGGTAAGGGGCAGTGCATTCAATAAACTCTTAATCAACCCAGTCTGGAGAAACATAATCAACTTACCAACTTAATCAACCCAGTCTGGAGAAACGTGAGTTATGCTGCCATGTGCCACCCAAAGTGAAAATGGAGGTATTCTTATTTAGCCATCTGAAGCCACTTTTCAAGTTCATTGTTTAAGGGAAGGACATGATCCTAGATAATAAAATTAAGCTTCTAATCATGGTTATAAAAATGTTATCCCATATTATTCCCTTGCTACCAAAAACTTCCTAGAAGAAATAACATAAAGGGTAAGAGAGAGAGTGAAAGACAATACAAGAGAAAAGGAATAAAACTCAGAGATAACATTAGAGATAAGGGTGTGAGTGTTGGGGGAGGTTGGCGGGGGGGGAATATATCCATCCACATGTGGTTGAAACGACATACTCTATGCCTTAGCATCTCCGACAGCAATTGGTTTGAATTCTTCTTGAGTTTCACTGTTGAAATTAATGTCCTTAAGGATTTTTTGGACATAGGCAAGGCATCAATCACATCCTCTACATACAGTCAAAAACACATAGTTGAATTTACAGCGGCCTTCCCCTCTGAGCGTGTATAGTCATTGTCCCCCAGGGATTATGCTGCAGGGCGAGCAGGATATTCAAACCCTCCGTTTACTGCTGTGCCTTTGTTTGTCCCTGCTTTCTCATTTCACCTTCAAACCTTCCTGGTACACACGTCGGCTGGGGAATCAGGACAAACGGAGCAGTGGATGAGCAGTGTCCTCTTGCCTTTTTCAACTACTGGTATTTCTATACCACGAGGCCAACTAAAGATTTTAGGCAGGAAAGGCTTTTCTTCGTTCACTTTTTAAAGATGGCACAGTGGCAATCCAGTGATTAAAGCTCACCGGCTGAATGATGGAGCTTCTGGCTCCATTGTGCCCTCTCATTGTCAAGGCTCCTTCTGATTCAAGTCCGGGCGGCGCAGTGGGGGATTGCTGCATAGACCTAAGACTTTTTATTTTTATCACATGCTAACTTGGTTTTAAACAAAGCTTTGAAGCTTCCCAGGGCTCATCTTTAATGAAATTGGAGAGGCAAAGAAAAAAGGCTGAAACAAATTCCAGTGCAAGCAGCAAAAGTGCTAATTCAGGGAGGATGGAAGGAGTTTAAAAGAGGCAAGAGCAGATTCAGTAAAAAATAAATATTAAAAATTTAACCGTGAAGAGATTAGTTAAAATATTTAGGTTTTCCATTTTATTAACTTTCTCTAGGTACCAACAAGAAATCACTATTAAATTATTTGGTTAGTAGGGATTCAGCAACTAAAACTGGGACTATAAGAGCTATTATACCCAAGCCCTCCTTTTCCCTCATCTCATTTTCTGGAAATAACATTTTACTAAAAAAAAAAAATTCCACATTGATCCCAACCCAAAACAGATCATTTTTATAAATCCTATATGAATTCTGATCAATTTGTTTAGGGCTATGTAATGAAATACAGATGTGTAGATTAGTTTGGAGGAAATAGTGAAAAATGATATAGATGGTCTTTAAAGTCCCGTAGTTTGGTCCTGATAAATTGTAACCAGGCTACGATGAACTGAGAACGGACAACCCCACATACCTCAACTCAAGTTCTTTCCATGGAAAAGGAGCACCGTATACTGGAACCAACTTAAAAATTGTGGACATTGTTGAGTACCTTAAAAACTTACCACAAAAGTCATTGATTTTTAGTAGTAACTGAGTATTGTGTTCCCCCCAAATTACAGCATCGAGGTGATTTTTCCTACAAACCTATGCTTTTCTCTGTCTTCCTCTTCCTGAGTAGCAAATATCTTCCACTGGAAGTGGGCAATGATGTTACTGCGGTTGTGAATAGTTACAGTTCGCTGATTGGCCAGAGATATATAGGTTTTCTCAATGATCAAAGAATTCTTGTCCAGCCTTATATTCATGTCTATGGCAGCTCCATACAGGGATACAAACATTTTTTCACCTGGAAATTAACAAAGTAAACACACATTGAGATTTATTCTAAAATGATACTACTAGGCTATTCTTTCCCCAAGGTGAAGTTAGGAATATTGCACAAGCTTTACACATTTCATTCTTTTTTCCCTATCAATCCAGAGGTCAGATGTGATCAGAAACTTAAATAATGTTTAGAGTAATTATAGAGAATCAAACTATCTTGCTGGGTCACTGTAAAAAATACATCAACTATGAGTTGTTGTTGTGGGTGCTACATGACTTTTTCTTCTTTGTAATAGTTTAAATCCTACAGGCCAACCACAAAGGCACCTGAGTTCTAGAACCATAACCATCCACCTCATCTCTGTCTCAAGCATGGGCTGGATTTCTGATTCTTAAAATAACTGCATCAGATATATGCAAGGAGAGCTGCTCAACAGGCAGGATCTAAGTCCAATCAAATGGGACCAGGAAGGAAGAGTCAGTCATTTCATTAATAGAAAAGACTGTTTAAAAGAAGCCACATCCCTAAACAACAGCGATTAAAACAAAACAAAATGAAACACAATGCTATAAAAATAGAAAGACAAAAGCTAAGATTATCATTGAAATGTTTTAACTTATTGATCTTACAAAGAGAAAGGAAGAGAGAGACATCAGTTTGTTGTTCCACTCAGTTATGCATTCACTGGTCGATTCTTGTATGTGCCCTGAGTAGGGATCAAACACACAGCCTTGGCATACAGGGACCACACTCTAAACTAGATGAGCTACCCGGCCAGGGCCTAAATTTTTTAAATGTTAAGAATACCTTTATTCAACATAATAATTTATTCCAGACTTCATTCAGGATGCACTAATTGTCTTAATTCTAGGTGTGCAAATGAGGGCCCCACTTCTAAGAAGACAAACTATACTCTATCTGTCCTCTGCATGTCACGGGAAGTGATAGAAAAAGAAAACACTTAGATACCAAGAATGTTCTGTTGACCTGTGCTGTGAAAGGTTTAGTCAGCATCCAGAAAGCATAGGCATGTGCACTTCGTTTTCTAGCAAACGTTTTTGCTCCATTCACAACTGTATGAGCCAAGCAGCTAGTGAGCAAATTGACAATATACATTGTGAATGTTCTTCAGGCAAAATATGTTAATTTGAACATAGCAAACTTTTCCCAAACTTTAAAGAAAAAGTAAGCATCTAGACACGTGGCTCTAAATTTTAAATTTTTATTTAATAATGTACATGTTAATTAAATTTTTCAAGTGGTATAAAAGTATATATCATGAAAATAAAATGTCTTTCTTCCCTTCACTCAATCATAGGCCTACTTTTTAGAGGTAACAGCTGTTAATATTTTCATGTACTTCCTTCCCAAATAAAGATATGCACTTTTGTCAACTTTTTAAAGTTTTGAGTTAAATTTAACTCATTGTTACTGTAACTTGCATATTCTTAATTATATGTGAAAGTGAACATCTTTTCATGTATTAATTGGAGATATATATATATATATATATATATATATATATATATATATATATGTTTTTTCCCCCTCTGTCTAAAAATATGTGGAAAGTGCACAATGAATGGGTAAAAGCCTAAACAGATGAAGTGAGATGGTGTAAAAGTGTGTAATTGGAAACTCAGGAGAGGAAACAGATAATGAAGCAAAGACAGTATTTCAAGAAATATGGGTAAGTTTTCTAGGATTGATTAAAGCCATCAGTTCACAATTCAAAAAGCCCAATGAATGACAAGTAGGATAAATTAAAAGAAATTCAAGGAACAATTATAAAGAACACATGGACAGTAATAGAGGGGGTGGAAACAAGAGAGGGAGGTGGTGAGGGTTGGGGTAGGGGGGAAAGGCAGAAAACTGTACTTGAACAACAATTTAAAAAATTTAAAAGAAATTCATACATAAATATATTGCAGTGAAACTTGAAAAAAAAATCAAAGGCAAAGAATAAATCCTAAAAGTAGACACAGGGAAAAAGATATCTTCAGAGGATCCATGGTTAGAATTACAGCTAACTTTTCAATTAAAACAATGGAAACTAAAAAACAATGAAAGAACTTCTTCAACATAATATGGAGAAATAATGCCAACAAAGAATTCTATAATTTTTCAGCTTTTTTTCCCTCAAAAATGTCTTTGTTTTGTCTTCATTTTTTAAGGATATTTTCAGTGGGTAAAAAAATTCTAAATTAGTCTGTTTTTGTTTTTGTTTTTAAATTTCAGCTTTTGAATAATGCCATTTTATTGTCTTCTGGCCTCCATAATTTCAATTGATAAGTTTGCCACTAGTATTATTAGTGTGCCTTTTAGGCACTGTGTCCTTTTTCTAACTAGTTTTATAATATTCTCTTGGCTTTGGTTTTCAGTAGTATTTGTACCACCAAGAGTTTTCTGAGCTTTGTGAACCTTGGATTAATGTCATTCATCATTTTCAGAAAATTCACAGACACTATTTCTTAAAATATTTTTGTCCCATTCTTTCCTCTACTTCTAAGACTCCAATTACATATATAGTGACATTTTGACTGTGTGTCACATCTACATGGCCTTTGCTTTCTGTTCTTTTTTCCCTCATTCTTTTTTGTTTCTCTCTGTGATTCAAACTGGGTATTTTCTACTGACCTATATTCAGGTTCACTAATCCTGTCTCCTGCTGTATCCATTCTATTGGTAAACTAACCTAATTAATTCTTAATTTCCAACATTATACTTTCAGAATATCATTGTTAGTATAACCTGACAATGATAAAACAAGTAGGCCAATATATAGATTGATTACACTTCTGAATATTAATTTAAAATCTTAAACAAAAAATTAGTAATCATAATTCATCAGCACATTAAAAGAGTGATAACTTTGCAACCAAGTGGAGTTTTTTTCAGGAATGCAAAGATGGCTCACTATTAAAATACCTGTTAATATGGAATGGATCCAAGGGGAAACTTATTTATTCTCCACTGATGCTGAAAAAGAATCTAACAAAATTCAAAACACATTTTTAACTTAAAAATTCAATAAAATAAGAACTGATAGAATTAAAACATAGTATAAAGTCTGAGTAATTAAAAGAGCATGAAGAGACATGACAAGGGGTGGAATGGAATAAAAAGTCAAAACAAACCCAAATACATATTGAAATTTACTGTATTATAACAACAGCAACTCAAACCACTGGTGTAATGATAACCTCTGTGAAAAAGAAAAGGGCTATTTGGACAACTTAGTAGCCATGTAGAAAGCAGCCTCAGAATAAAAGCCAAATGAATCAAATATTTAAGATTTTTTTGGGGGGGGACTTCCGGCAAGATGGAGGAATAGGTGGACGCACCGTACCTCCTCGCACAACCAAGATTAGAACAACAATAAATTACGGTCAGCATAACACACAGAACTGACAGAGGATTTATCTGAATGGAAGTTGGATAGCCAAGAAGTTGAAGTAGACCCGTACATTCAGACCGGTAGGAGACGGTGAGCCGAGTGGGCGCGGGGCTGGCGCGGGTCGGTGGCGTGCGGAGGTTGGGGAAAGTTTGGCGCGGAATCGGCACGACAGCCATCGGGGCGCAAGAACGCAGCGGTGATCCCTGAGTACGCAAGCTGCGGCTGCCAGACCCAGTGGGGCAGTGATTGTGGACCAGGGCAGAGCTAGCAGCCCAGGAGACCGGGGAAGGGTCTGGGCCCTGGAGAACTGAACTGCCGCCATTGATTCCCTCCCGTCCCCGCTCCCGCCCCCGCTCCCACATATAACGTCACAATCTAGCGACTGGGGCGCCCAGCCCCGGTGAACACCTAAGGCTCCGCCCCCCACTGTAACAAGAGCGACCAGACCAAAAAAAAAAAAAATAGAGACAGGGAAAGACATAAGACATGTGTACAACAGAGCAGATCAGTCCCCCAGGACTCATCCTTTTGAGCAACCAAGAAATAGCCAATCTATCAGATGCACAGTTCAAAACGCTGGTGATCAGAAAGCTCACGGAATTGGTTGATTTTGGGCGCAATTTAGATGAAAGGATGCAGGTTACCATAAAAGAGATGCAGGAAGACACGCGGAGGAGAGCCAATAGAGACAGGAAGGTATCTGAGTCTCAAAACAATACAGTGGACCAGAAGGAAGATAGAATCAATCAAGCAGGAAAACATGATGAAATAAGAATTCAAAAAATCGAGGAGAGCCTTGGGAACATCCAGGACACCTTTAAACGTTCCAACATTCGAATTATAGGGGTACCAGAAGGGGAGGAACAAGTGGAAAAGTTATTTGAACAAATAATAAAGGAGAACTTCCCCAATCTGGCAAAGGAAACAGTCTTCCAAGAAATCCAAGAAGCTCAGAGAGCCCCAAAGAAGTTGGACCCAAGAAGAAACACACCAAGGCACATCATAATTACATTAGCCAAGGTAAAAACGAAGGAGAGAATCCTAGAAGCAGCAAGAGATAAGGGGACAGTAACCTACAAAGGAGTTCCCATCAGACTGTCAGCTGATTTCTCCAAAGAGACCTTACAAGCAAGAAGGGGCTGGAAAGAAATATTCCAAGTCATGAAAGACAAGCACCTACATCCCAGATTGCTCTATCCAGCAAAGCTCTCATTTAGAATGGAAGGGAAGATAAAGTGCTTTTCAGATAAGGTCAAATTAAAGGAGTTCATCATCACCAAGCCCTTATTTTATGAAATGCTAAAGGGACTTATCTAAGAAAAGAAGATAAAGAAAAAGACATGGATAGTAAAAGGACAGCAAACTCACAATTATTAACAACCACACCTAAAGCAAAACCAAAAGAAACTAAGTAAACAACTAGAACAGGAACAGAACCACAGAAATGGAGGGCACATGGAGGGCTAGCAGCAGGGGGGTGGGAGGAGGAGAGACGGGGAAAAGGTACAGAGAATAACTAGCATAGAATGTAGGTTGAAAATAGATAGGGGGAGGGCAAGAATAGTACGGGAAAGGTAGAAGCTAAAGAACTCATAAGAATGACACATGGATTGGATGTGAACTA